CACAGTGCCGTCTTTTGCCGTGTGGCTCTGGCTGGGCTTCCCAGTACCACGGGGCCTCTTCCATGGAGGCATGTTGGGTTCTTGTTCCATCTCCTTTTCAGATTCTTCTGAGGAGGTATCAGTGGCCTGCTGGACAAATGAAACCTCTCCTCCATCAGAATCTGCTTCGTCCATTTCCTGAAGCAAGGCCAAAGTCTGTTGCGCGGAGAGGTTCTTCCTGCGTGGCAGTGATACGGAGGCCATCCTGATGTGCGTTCTCAGAAATGTGAACAAGAAATCATTCTCCCGTCTGGGTCGGTCTGCTTTTATGCACAGCACTGTGCTGTAGTCAAGCAATGCCACTCCCTCACATACACAGTGACAATGGAACAATGGAAGATCTGTGCTGAGAGTCAAGGAAGGTGTGAATGTGTGTCTTTTATATTTGCAGGTCAGTCAATGTGTGGGATATTTTGTATAGATACGGCAGGCATTTCTGAAAGTTGTAACACAGAGGTTTGGCCTGACTTGGATCTGAGCACCTCTGAGTGAGCAAATGCAAATGTGCCAGGCCTCAAGGATAATGGGTGGTTTGCACAACAAAAGCTGGAGGAGAAACGAGCTGACGACCTGTGAAAATCTCAGCAGGGGTGATTAACACCTCGGGACTTGCACCAGAAAATAAAAAAGCCAGTAATTCTAGGGGGTGTCGGGTTTAGGGAAGTTACGCAAATTTGCGCAGGTTAGTAAACCTAGTGTTAATGCCCACTCACATCCTGGGCCATCTGACCTCAGGAATTCACATGATAAGGTGGGGCCAGGTTTCACAATGAGCTCACCCGAAACCATGGCTGATGGGGACCCACACCCATTTTCACACATTGGCTCAGGCGATTAGAGGATCATCAGAGGGTCCTTTTGTCCCTCCTTGGGGGGATACTCCCACTAGGTTTAAATCTGGGACTCCCCACCATTTGACCTTAGAACTGAAGAAGCCTCCCGGATGAGAGGTGAAACGTCTTCAAGCAACTTAAAGAAGTCCAGACGCTTTTTCTTTGCAATCTCCTTTGACCATTTTGAGCAATGTATCTGACTAGTTTCTCAGTGCAGGAGGCATCTTGAAGCTGTCATCACCAACAAAGACTTTTGCACAAAGTATTAAATGAATTTCGGGCAATCACACTTTTTCCCTGTGTCGTTTACAAAAATTCATGGACATTTATGGTTTGATTTCTTTATATGATGGGTTGTTACTGATATCTGGTGAGAAATTAATGTCAATACTACCTTTAGATATATATGTGCTTAAAAACTGGTGATATTTTCAATACTTATTTTACCCTTTGTATATTACGTTTATTATTGTGTCTTTGTCTCCCTCCCTTGTTACCTCAATTCTTGTTTTACTTTCAGGGTTAGGATTTCTTATGCTTTGTTTTTAGTTTTGCTCCATATCTCTTTTCTTCTGGGATTTAGTTCACCTGTCTCCCATCCTCTCCAGCTGTCTCCATTTCCCTAGTTACTCTTCTGTGTATATGTTGTTGTTCTTGTCGTCAGAGTGTTCCGGTGCTCCTAGCCCCATTGCTTTCTGATCTTCTAATCTGATATCTCTAGGTTTGCCATGTTTTCTAGTTTTGGTTTCCATAAGGTTAACATTTTCAGTTATTCTTTAATACTTTATGTCCCAGGTTTTGTATAGTACTGCTATCAGTCCTCAATAAGCAGCTCACTTTTCATTCAACTTGGTCTGCCTTCACATCCTTTGGGTCCTTACTTCTCACATTCCAGCCAAATCAAGGCTCTGCCTCTTTTGCCACGTATATTGTCCTATACATCTCCTTCCAGTTGCCTCTCTATCGACCAGCATGCTTTACAGTCTCTCCTGGCTGGAGTAGGAATCTATGGAAAAATACATCAAAGACTCTCTGGCAGCTGGGATCATTTATTAATCTTCCTCTCCACTGGGTGCAGGGTTTTTCTTTGTTGAAAAAACAAAACAAAAAGATCATGGATTGCTATAGAGGCTTGAATCAGATCAAGAATAAACCCCTTGTCTTTGCGATAACCTCATAATTTGAACCCTTGCATGAAGTCATGTTTTTCACCAAAAGAGACCTTAATTATGGCTTTTGGATTAACTAATTGTTCACACTAGTTTCCATACTTTAATAAATAATGTGCTGAGAGACCTTTTGAACATCTCTTTATTTGTGTTCCTTGATCATATCGTTGTCTTTTTACAAAAGCTTGATTTGACCTCGTAATTTTTCTCAAAAGTTGTCAATGCAGAATATTGTGTAGCAAGCCATAAAGCTAATTCTGGAAGAGTGGAGAGGGCTGAGCAGCCTTTTATGGTTTGGACTGACCACAAACAGAAATAAGACAGACAAAAAGCCATCTTACCTCCAGAATACCAAATGTTTGGCAGATTTCAAACCCCAAGGAATTTATGTCTCATCTATGAAATGTGTGATGTGTAAACCATTAAACAATACTACGCCTATTACTATACCCTATAAAATATCATTGGTTGCAAAATGATTCCTGATTTAGTCTTCACTCCTTATTAATATTTTTATAATACAAAATATATTAATAATAATATAAATATATTTAAATTTAAATATTTAAATTTACAAAAATATTTAGATATTTTTAGTGTTACATAACTTTATTAGAAAAGTGTCTGTGACATATTATCAAATGACATTAAATGCATTTTTAATGATTACAGTCATTTCGTATTTATTGTTTAAACTCACTAATTTCTGACTGTCTTTTGCAATAAGCTTTATATAATATTCATTTGCATTGTTATATTATATCCCATTTTATCATATTATATTGTTACTTTTCAGCAGTTTTACCAATTTTGGCCAATAATTTTAAAAATATACAGAACTAGTATTAAATTGAAATTATAAATTATAAATTAAATTACAGTAGCTATTTCCATTGATATATCCTGCACTTTACAGTCTACTAAGAACTGTGAATGTTATAATAAATATTTTGCCAAATATTTGTTTGGTGAAAATTTTCCATAATTACATATCTGTTCAAGTCTTTGTAGAATTACAGAAACTATTTAAAAAACTGCCATCTATAATCATAGAAGGGTAAAGTACTGCAGATGCTGATGGATATTATTAATGTTTCAGGCTATATAGTGAGGAAATAATTATTTGATCACCTGCTGAATATGTAACTTTACTCACAAAGAAATGAATAATCTCTTTTTTTTATTTTATCTTATGTTAGTGAAGAAATTCTCTCAACTCTCAACCAAAATACCCAGGAAAAACAAAAAACATTGCATGGATGTTTGACTGACTGATATCCATGTCTTTAAGTGAAATAAGTAATTTGATACTCCAGCAAAACATAACTTTGCGCTTAGTGGAGAAACCTTTGTTGGCAAGTTTGTATATGATTGTGGACTGGAGACTAGCTAGTGCATCTTCTTTAACCACACCTTTGTTGTATTGGGTCCATGGTTTTGGTCAATGTCACGCTGGAAGACTAATCCATGATTCATCTTCAGTGTTCTTACTGAGGCAAAGAGAATCTCCAAGATTTTACAGTACGTGGCCCCATACATTAGCCTCTTATTGCAGTGAAGTTATCCTGTAACTTTTTGATAATTTCTCTTCCTCCAAACATGGCAGGCTGAGTTAATGCCAAAGAGCTCAGTTCTCCCAAGCATTCACTGAATCATTTAAATGTTCACTGGCAAGCTTAAGATGGGCCTGTCCACACAGGGGGGATCTTGGGGGCGCAAGACTACAATCCATTATAGTATATTGTTACCAAATGGTGTTCTTAGTGACTTTGGCAACTTCTTTCAGATCATTAATAACCTCCTTACATATGCTTCTGGGCTAATGCACTAACTTTTCTTTGTTTGTTAATTTATTTCAAACATGTAAACAATATTTAGTAACGTTCTCATGATTGTCCTCACCCCATGAGGCAAGATCTTGCATGAGCTTCAAAGTAAGGGTGACTGCTCATTTTATCTTTCTACTATGTCTGAATAATTGCAACAACAGTTGTCACCTTCAAACCAAGCTTCTTGCTGATGGTCTTGTTGTCCATTCCAGTTTTGTGCAGGTCTTCAATCTTCTCCCTGATGCTTTGGTTTCACCTATGCTGGTGGAGAGGTTGGAATGGAAGAACTGGACAGGTGTATTTTTTAATCATAAATTGAGATTAGGAATATCTTTAATTGATCTGTGGGATTCTAGCTAGGTTGTAGGGATCAAATACTTATTTTATCACTTTATACACTGTAAAAAAAAAACTGTCAAATTTACGGTAAAATACCGGCAGCTGTGGTTGCCAGGAATATACCGTGAAAAAAATGTGGAATCTGTAAAAGACAATACGGTATACTGGTTTTGTAACCCTAAATTTTAAGGTAGACAACGTATTATTTTACCAAAATCATGATAGAAAAAAACAAATATATTTGTCAATTATACAGCAATTTAATGTAAAAAATGCAACTTTCCATAGCTTTTTACGGATATTTGCGGTAAAAAAAAAGTTATAATATAATAATATTTACAGTAATTTGTTGTTAATTTAACAGTAATAGGATAGACCCTATTATTGTAAATAACTGTAAAAATAACAGAAATATGTTAAACCTTATTAAAACCTTTGACAGTAAAAAACACAGTGAAATTGTATAATAAATTACAGCATTTTATTTTGACCAGATACATTTTACGGTAAATTCCTGGCAACCACAGCTGCCGGTATTTTACCGCTAAAAATACAGTACAATATGAGGAACATAAATGGTTTACCGTACATTTTACATTTGCAACCGCTAAATATAGAAAAATCTAAAGATGCTCATATATAACCGAGGTAGTGAATATTACTGATAAACAATGAGAAAATTTGACATAGCATTTGTAAACAGACTAAACATATCATTTTCTCTATTCCTACAAAACAGCATAGATCTTGAGAATACAGCATGTGTCCATATATATGGCTGGTAATCCATGGAGGAATGAATAAAAAATGAAACAAAATATTACCTGCCCCTGACCTATCAACAGTAATGAGTCACTGGGTCCTGCCTTGGTGAAGGAAAGGACTCAGTGGAGTTTCTAATGCGCATGGTGTCGAAGATACAAGCTCTGCAGGAGTACTTCAATGTCCATCAGGAGTTCACTTTGGACTGGCAGGATCCCCTCTGCAGCAAAAAATGGACAAAGTTTGATCAGTGCTTGAGCAAAATGCACAGAAATGAACAAAACGTGCTGCCAAAAACAGATCTAATGATAAATGATTTCTTAAGTGTAAAATATACAGTTCTTAAAGGATAGCTCTTGTCAAAATGCAACCTGGGCTGTTTTTTTTTTTTTTTTTTTACTGTAAACGAGACAAACATATATCTAAAAGCATAATTACGACAAACGAGCCGTTTTTGAGATTGACCGTGATTTTGTTTTGTGGTCAATAGCCAGTGAATGGGAATACTACGGGGCCGGGGCATAAATTTGAGCGCATCAAAATCGATACAGTAAAAAAAAAACAAACAAAAAAAAAACAGCCCAGGTTGCGTTTTGGCAATAGTTATCCTTTAAATCTACTTATGTAAAAGTGATACATAGACAACGCAGCCCTAATCACAATCAGAATTTGTTGGAAAACATATTTAAGTTTCCTATTGATTTATCAGAGAACTTGAAGTTAATGGCTGAATGCATGGTGATGAGACCTATCATTCAATCTACATTTTATAGCGTATGAAACTGCTCACCTGGACATGAACCTGAGCTCGGCTGATTAAGATTAGTGTCTCCTGTCCATCTTTCTTTAGCAAAACTTGAATAATACCACTGCTTACCTCTTATTGAATCTTTGGGTGCAGACTTAATTGAAGAGCCTCGTATAAACAGGCAGGGTGTGATGTTTAGGGAAACCAAAGAATACAGGCGCCATCATTTCTGCCAGAAGACTCATGGGGTGCAACGAAGCTTTCATTGTGGACTGGCTAGATACCTTCTGCATTCAGAAAGAAAACAAGAAGGGCATACACCATAAACAATAATAACTGACAAAAATAATGAGACAAGAAATTAAAGTAACATAATAAGTGCAAATCAAGTTTCCCTGTGTTGCAGTGTAGCTGAATGTTTTTCAACAATTTGATTTACGGTAAAACACATACCAAATATTTCCAGCCAAGGTTTGTTTCAATCTTCAGCATGTTTTTCCTGCCATTGTCTTGAAACTGTTTCATCTGTCCCTCTCATTCAATGCTGTTTACAAAAACAAAACAGCAATATTGTAAAGGGAAAAAGGAAAATGAATTTAATGGGGAAAAAAAAGAAAAAAAGATTATGACCTGAAATCTCACCATTTCCTGAGAGTCACAGGTCCTTTGAGTATCCTTATGGTTTCTGCTCAAATTCAGTGTCTGAAAAGGGCAGGAACAAAACAAACCTTTTTAATCATAATAAAGACAAAATAAGATTTAGAGACAGTGCCACATCATAAGCGAAAACTCCCTCAAAGATATCATGACCTAGACATGGTGGCAAGCCTGGCATACAAACGTTGAAGTATTTCAGTGAATTGAACACTGACCTGAACTTCACTCCTTCGACGTCTGGTGTATTGTCAATCTGGAGGCGATCAACAGCAGAGTTGTAGTTCTCTTTGGTATGTTCTGGTCCACACAGATTTGGGTCAGCACCCTGAAATTCAGATTTCGTTATCAGGCAGTACCTGCAGAAGTGTTTTGAAGTACTAAAGTTTTCAGTGAAGCCACCAATACAGTGAGAACCCAGATTATCACCAGCAATGCAAAACAAAGTTCCTTTGACTCTAGTTTCATCTGATGCAACAATCCCACTGTCCTCCAATTCTTTCAAGTCTGCCAGTAATTCAGAGAACACATTAGCATGACCAAACTCTTTAAAATCTTTCTCCCTGCACAGTAAGACAAGAGACATGTGATCTGTGTCTGAGCGTACATGAAGTGGCAAGTTTGCCACTGATGCATATACAGCTAATACCTTGTGTTTTGTCCTTGCAGAGCCTAAAGGGTTAACGACTTCAAAGGCATCCTGGTAGAGTACT